TATATATATATATATGTATTAGATTTACGAAGCTACGCTGAACACTTCTAAAGTATAAATATAAGCGTATCGTACATAAACATATATATGTATATAATGTTCATGTAGGCGCACAAGTTCATTTACAGTCATTTCAATTGACAAACCTACTTGACTTTTTTAAAAGTTGTTAGAAGGTAATAAAGGAAGAATTTCAAGCTATTGGAATTGTTTGTTTGTTTTCTGAAAAAGCGAAAGTGACTTGATTTTGATAATGCAGTTAAGTAGTTTTGTTTTGCCTACAGTTAAATGCATTGAAGTGATTTCATATTAGGCTTATTGAAGTAAATCGGTTTCACGGAACTTTAGAGAATACAGATATACTTTGAATGCAGCTCTTTAAGTTATTTTCTCACTTTTATAGAAAGTTTTTAAAAAGGTTTGAGAATTTGCAGAAGAAGTTTGGAGAAAACGTAATTTTTGTTTGCAGCGTCGCCAGATTTGCGTAGATTTGAGGAAACGAGATTAATAACAAACAAATAGACAGAAAATTGCGTCTTCAGAAAAACAGAGTACAGTCTGTTGTTATCCAAGAATAGAGTCGAAGCCGTAGCAGAGAAAACCAGAAATTATTTTGGTTCTGGAATCTTCTCTGTGTTGACATAGCAACGATGGTAGAAGTGATGTCATCAGTCATTAAAAGAGGAAGGGAAAAATTATTTGTACTTACTTTCGGAAAGCTTCACACGAAATCCTGTTATTAGAAGCAATCTCTAAGGAAGTGTCGCTTATGCTCTTACTAATTTTAAGTTCACCAAAAGTGCAGCTACTTTTTGAGGAGCGGGAGGACGAGAAACTACATTTTTATGTTTTATTTTTAGTAAAAAAAGTTACAATTTAAACTTGAACATAGACAGCTCTACGAAATCGATCGAAGAATGCAGTAAACTCTTTAAAATAAAAGCGATTTTTCAAGAGGAAAAGCTTTTTTAGTTTATCTGCTATATCCAAAATATTTGCAGAACTTAAATGAACTTTTGATATGCAGTTCAACTAAGCAGTTTGCTGCCGATCAAGAATTTCAGTTTGTTGGTATGTTCAGAACTCTCTTGCTGTAGCGATTCGTATGAATTTTTTTGTTTGTTTTGAGTTGCAGATCAAAAAGTGCTGGAGAGTACATCTCTTCAACATCGTGTCAATAAAAGCTGAAAACTATTTGAAGAATAAAAAAAGCAAGAAAAAACAATATTTTGGTGAAGACTCCTTCTGAAAAAGTTTTCTTTTTAAAAAATTTCTGTGAAATCAGTTAATTAATATTTTATAGTTCAATATTAGAAAGTACAAAGTAATAAATCAGTAATGAGCTTTTAAAGCTTGAAAAAAAGCACATTTAAACACAGAATTTGTCAAAATGTATCAAAAGTAAGTTTAGTAGTGCGGAATCAGAAGCCAGCCGAAAATGATAGTAAAAGCAATCAAAAAATTGCAGAATTAGATTTAAATAATTAGAACCAAAGAAATTGGAAAAGTTTTATATCTGAACACTTTGAACACAAGTTGTGCACTCAAAAAGTTGCAAAAAAAGAACAACATTGAAAGATGATCAAATAAAAACAAACCTGCCCTCTCATAGAGTCTCCTTAAAACAGTTATATCCATTTCATTCAAAAAGAACGAGTTCTAGTGGAAACTGTCTCGTTATTTTTAATCAAAACACGTAATTTACTGTTGCACTGAGAATGCAAAATTTGAAGAGAATGAAATTTGTAGCAGCAGTTGTCCAACTTTTACAAGCCTGATCTGCTTTCTAAAAAATCGAATTCTTTTCAGCTCTTCTACGACACTGAAGTTATGAAAAAGACAAATAAAAAACGAAATTTTATTTTTTTTCTTCTTTCACTGATGAAGTTTGCTAAGTACTTTTGAAGTCATTATTTCAGTATACAGTTAGTGAATAATAGATAACCGACAACTCGTATGTCACGAAAAGAAAATAAAGAAAAATTGGCTTGCTTTTTCTATAGACAAGTGT